GTTATTGTCTGTGTGTTTCAATGCCTTATTACTAATAATTGGCATTAAAGAGTATGTAAACCCAACAACATTTCATATCCCTGATATGTGCTTGCTGTACAATGTACTTGTATGAAACAGTATCCTATTCGCTTTGTATTGCTTCCTTTGTGTGAAATCCTGCCAGTCCCTCTGCTTTCCTATTAATAACTGACTACACTAGGCGTGAGAGCACACTGTGGTCACTTCTCTAGTTGTGCTGGGAACTCAGCCTGTTCTACTTCAATGATCAGACTTCTGCTCACATACCCCCTCCAGCACAGCCATTCACTGGGAAATTCAGTGTGCTGATGTTTTTCCTCCCCCCAGCTCTTAGTTCTCAGCTGCATAAAGAGCTTCAAGGGTATGTGATCACCTATAAAACAGAGAAAAAAAAAGTATTTATAATGTTTTTTATATCTATACTCAAATGTTTTGCTTTCCATTTCTATTTTAAATTGAATGGGCTGTTTTACAAGGTGACAAAAGAGGTTGTGGGTGGAGAGTCACAGTTGCTTCCAGACAAATCAGTTGTCTATGGCTTCACAATTCTCTCAAATCTTGCAAATGCTTAAGTGACAGATCCCAGGGGTAACTGACACCCACGGCTGAAGCAAAAACAGCCCAGGATCTGTGTATCTTGAGTTTGCACTGAAATTTGAATATAAATATATATTTATTTTACAAATATCTATAGCACTGAAATGTTTTTTTACAGCTCATTTAGTGAGAATGTTACACCATAAATTTAGTGCCTTTCACTTTAAATTTGCATTAGAAGGAACTTTCATCTCAAAAAGATGCACATTGAAAACACAACCACAAACTAAAATAATTTTTACAAACCGGTACTTACAGTATTTGGTTATACATTCATTTATTGATAAAGCTCAAAAATAAACTTTTGACTTGTACCATTCCAGAAGCCTATTTCAGGAAATTCAGTTTGATCCAATAGTGGACACTTGGGCAATGCTTTTCACTGCGATCCTTATCTGCTGGGTGGAATTAGTATTCCTCTTTCCCTAGACATGCTGAGATTTTTATTACAGGCTAAGTTTAGACCGCATTTTAGGTGAAAGCCTTTACACAGGTAGAGGGCAGAAAGCTGGAGGGAGCGTGTGCAGGTACCTGACATTGCACCAGCGAATCCACTGATCATTGGTGCAATGTTCTGCAAGCTCCTGTAGGAAAAATATTTAATGCACATTTTAATCGCAACTGTTATAATGGAATTCCAATAAAATGTTTTTTGGAAAGAGCGGAGGAAAGGAACCTCGGGAAGTTGTTTTCCCACTCTGATAACTATCACTTCCTCAGAGAGTGGTAATTCAGTCAGGAAATTAGGAGAAATCCCTCCAACAGGACCATAGAAGACAACATAGATACTGTTTTATGTTTGGGTAGAGAATGCATAGATACCAGGGGCAGACTGACATGGGGCCCCCAGGCAATAAGAGATAATGAGGCCCCCTGTGTCTACGCCTACACTAAAGCCAAAGCCATACCCACACAACACCCCACCTACATATTGCAACTCAGCTGCATAGAAAGGGCATTAAAAATAATTCAAAATAATAAAACAATGTTGTGGGGCCCCCCCCTCCATTCATACCAAGCCCTTCGGGTCTGGTATGGGTGTCCCCACGCCAAAATTACGAAAAAATTAGATCCATACCAGACCCTTATCCGAGCATGCAGCCCGGCAGGTCACGAAAAAGGGGGGGACAAGCGAGCGCCCCCCCTCCTGGACCATACCAGGCCATATACCCTCAACATGGGGGGGTGCTTTGGGGGATTCCCCCCCAAAGCACCTTGTCCCCATGTTATGGGGACAAGGGCCTCTTCTCCACAACCCTGGCCTGTGGTTATGGGGGTCTACAGGCAGGGGGCTTATCGGAATCTGAAAGCCCCCTTTAGTAAGGGGGCCCCCAGATCCCAGCCCCCCCATGTGAATGAGTACGAGTATCCCCGATTGATGACACCACAAGCAGCGGGGTCACACACGTGATGTCCCCGGGTGGCTCCATCCCTTACATATTTAAGAACTGTCAAGCCAGCAGAACAGTCAGACGGCTGGGAGCCAGTGTTGGGAGTGGAGCCTTTCCCCTTTCCCCCCCCCTTTTTTCGGGTAGCAGCGGCGGCGGGCATCGGAATTGACGTTGGATCTACTTCAGGGGACATTCTTTTATTTTTCTTCTTTTAATAAAGGACTTGCCAAAGACTTCCTCCTGTCTTTTTTCACGCTACACTTTTTTTTGTGAATGGGTAGCAGTACCATGTGCCCCATACTCATTCACATGGGGGGCGGGGTCTGGGGCCCCCTTGCTAAAGGGGGGCTTCCAGATTCCAATAAGCCCCACACCCTCAGATCCCCACAACCACCGGCCAGGGTTGTGGGTAAGATGCCCTTGTCCCCATTAACATGGGGACAAGGTGCTTTGGGGGGGGGAGCCCACTCTGCCCCAAAGCACCCCTCCATGTTGAGGGCATGTGGCCTGGTATGGTTAAGAAGGAAAGGGGGGCGCTTGCTTGTCCTCCCCCCTTTCCTGACCTGCTGGGTTGCATGCTCGGATAAGGGTCCAGTAAGGATTTTGGGGGGGGCCCCATGCTGTTTTTTTTTAATTGCCGGCAATTCTTTCTTTTACATTCAGCTGTCAGTGGAAACCCTGCTGACAGCTGAAACATTAACACATGGTTTTCACTACTAAAATACCGCATGACTTGATAAAATAACTCATGCAGTATTTTAGTAGCTTTTTTTGGTGAATTCAAACTTTTTTTTTCTTTTAAATGCTATGCGGTATCCTACCACATACTCAGATGCGGTAAGATACTGCTTAGTGAATTGTGCCCAGTGAAACTCTCACCGGCCCCCTACTGACCCCGGGCCCTTGGGCAGTGCCCAAATTCTCAAATGGTCAGTTCGCCCCTGATAGATACTCTGAAATTATTTCATAACATTTTATTGGGACCTGCTGGTACCCTGTAGCAACACTGACAAGAGTAAATGCCTGAAAGAGGTTCTACCCCTTTCCTACACTAATCAAAACTAGAAAGAAAACAAAATTTACAAGACAACCACTTTACATTTTTTAATCTCTAATGTGGCTTTTAAAATTGAAATGAGCATGTCTAGATCGTCTTAGTGTCACCTTTCATTGCAGTGAGGACTATACAGTATTGACTTTAAAAACATCAATACAACAGTCGCCTAAAAACAATTAAAAGATAACAATGAAGTACATTGACTCGCTTTTATTGACGCTGAAAACCAATTGCTGTATCTTACATAGAGAAAAAACCTGGTCTCACGTGTGCTGCCTATAATTTCTTCTAAATGAGCTGTAAATTGCTGTCCGTACTTTTCAAGAACCTCATTTATTCTGTAGGCCAGGCTGAGGGTTTCTGAAAAGAGACACGATAAATAGAAAATTGAACACTTCAGCTCTTATACAGACCATTTACTTTTCTTTTATCTGGCACGTGTGAAACAATAAATAATACGTAGACAACTAAGGTCTCATTGTATTTACCAACATTAGACCTTTACAAATCCATATTAAATAACTGTATCATCATCTATACTGCTTGGAATGACAAGTTAGAATGGTTGCTGTAGGACATTAATTGTAAAGTTATCTTTACGTAACAAATAAATTGGTCATGTGTTAGCAGTGGAAGAGACTCAGATATACAGTACTATACAACAGTTCTTCACACATACCTAAAACGTTTGCAAAGTAAGAATGCTTTCAAAAATATATATTCTAATTTTTTATTTTTATCAATTTACAAAATGCCAGGTCAGCAAACAGATGAAAAAAACTAAATCAAATCAATATTTGGTGTGACCAGAGCCGGACTGACCATTTGGAAACTCGGGCACTGCCCAAGGGCCCGGGGTCAGTAGGGGGCCCCATGAGATGCCCCTGGTACCTTTTTCATAGGCTTTTTTGAGTTTGGGCAAGGACACAGGGGCCCCATGATCCCCTATTGCCCGGGGGCCCCATTAATTGTCAGTCCACCCCTGGTATGTGACTATCCTTTGGTTTTAAACCAGCATCAATTCTTACACTTGCACAAAGTCAGAGATTCTGTAGGATTTACAGTCAGGTGTATGATTAACCAATTATACCAAGCAGGTTCTAATGATCATCAATTTCATATGTAGGTTTCAACACAGTCATTAACTGAATGTAGGAGGCTTAAAATGGGTGAGAAACAGCCAAACTCTGCTACTAAGGTTGTGTTTCATGCCACAGGTCATACACTATGACAAGACTAAGCACAGCAACTAGACACAAGGTAGTTATACTGCATAAGCAAGGTCTCTCCTAGGCTACTATTTGAAAGCAGACAAGTGTTTCAAGATGTGCTGTTCAAACTCTTTTGAAGAAGCACAAGGAAACGTGCAACACCGATAACTGCAGACGCAGTGGTTGGGCAAGCAAACTTAATACAGCATATGAAAGACATATGCTTACTTCCCTTTGACATCGAAAGATGTCCAGCAGTGTCATCAGCACAGAACTGATGGAAACTAGTGTGTGCAGAATTGCTGCCAAAAATCCATACCTCTGATGTGGAAACAAGGCTAAACAACTCAAAAAACTCAGAAAACATTCTCCATAAGGTAGACATGGAACAGTGAGTGCAAAATACAAATCGTGGTTTTAGTAGTACCCCAGACTTGGAAGAAAATGGTGGAAGCAATGGCTGATCCTCTATCTTAAAAGTGGTGTGTATCTCTTCAATAAGAGCCAAAGCAGTCTGACACTCCTCAGAGGTACGTTTGGAATTAAAATCAGGCAAAGTAAAGACCAGCTCTAGTAGTAATGTCCAGATTGTAGAAAAAATGTTTAAGAAAAAAATTGTGCTGGTAAAAAGTATGTTAGTCTTTTCCCAGCAAAGCCATCCTCATAAGGCACTATCAAAAAACATTCTGATAGTAGGAGGAGTTATCCTGGGCTGGCCTACAGGTATATTGCTTGCCAGTGATAATTCTCCTGTAGGTGGCAGCATAACTCAACAGTTACAGTCTTCTTGTGTCTCTCAATGGACATGAAAGAAATTGTGTTTTTAAGTAATTTCAGTTTTAAACATTCTTTGAAAGTTTACACATATGTCAAAGTCACCAAGACTACTGAGTCATTGACTTGGAACAAGCTTTGCAGCAACTGAAGGTAAAGTGAAGTTAAAGCTCCCAAAGTACTGGACCTATTGCATCAGCATGACCAGCCAATTAGCATTCGTTTCTAAAGAAAGGCTAGTAATTGAGGCCTTCATATTTTTTTAAGTACAGGTTTTCTTTAAAGCTGATCTCTAGGGTAATTCCTTCCCCCAGGCATTGCTCTTCAACGACCTCCATTTAATCCCAAATACTCCCAAGACGTCCCAAATTCTCACCTAAATATGTGGTCATGGGACATCCAAAGTCCCAAGTCTTTTATCTCATCAACTGTAGAGTGGAAGGATTCTTTGTCATATTCTGGTAACATGGGCACATCCTGTCAACTGTCCATTGGTCGAGTCCTCCCAGGGCCAAAGGATTCCAGTGGCTGCAGGATGAAAACATGAAAACAGGTAACTAGACCAAGAACCGACAATGGAAGGATCCAGTCTTCACAATTTTGTGACAGCAGTAACAAAACATGCTGGGAGTTTCCTTTTTAACATTGCAAATGGGTGGATTGTATTGATTGGGAGGGGGACCAATTTGTCTAGAGATAGGTTTTAAGTTTTCATACATATGACCACAAATTCACATTGTGTCAGTCCTGTCACTGAAAATAATTTGTGGGTTCTTTGTCAGGTTTACAAACGTGGATCTTGCGAAGATTGCCACGGACATCTACTGTTAGGCAGTGACTGACAGAGTTTCCAATCAGGTGCAGTATACTGTATGTTGACAATCTAAATAGCTTTTTATTTAGTTCCTAAATATTACCTACCGGGTTTAATACACAGTAACCATAGTTTATATTAAAAGCTCAGTGCACAACCAATTCAGTCATGTTGCAACACTGACACTCATATCTATTTAATATTTCAAGTATGAAACTGCATATTTCGTATATTACAACTCCTTTAAGAATACACTTGAAACAGTGAGTTTCCACTGGCATGCAGTGAGCTAGTAGCTGTTGAATGATAGGCACTTAGAAAGAAAACATAAGACTAAATATAGGATGGTTACAAAAAAAATGCAAAAACCTCTGTATCAAACACCACTATACACTCACTGGCCACCTTGTTAGGTACACCTTGCTATAGCCAAGAAAATATCCCCCCCACTCCATTACACCACCACCAGCCTGAACCGTTGATACAAGACAGGATGGATCCATGCTTTCATGTTGTTTATGCCAAATTCTGATCCTACCATCTGAATGTCGCAGCAACCAGTCTGCCCATTCTCCTCTGACCTCTGACATCAAAAAGGCATTTTATTCCACACAACTGCTGCTCACTAGAAAATTTTTTCTCTTTTTTGGACCATTCCTGTAAACCCTATGGTTGTGCTTGAAAATCCCAGTAGATCAGCAGTTTTTTAAACACTCAGACCAGCTCGTCTGGCACCAACAACTATGCTACTTTCAAAGTCACTCCCTTCTTCCCCATTCTGATAATCAGTTTGAACATCAGCAAATTGTCTTCATCACATCTAGATATCTAAATGCATTGAGTTGCTACCATGTGATTGGCTGATCAACAATTTGTGTTACCAAGCAATTGAATATGTGCACCTAATAAAGTGGCTGGTGTGTGTATGCTAAGTTGATATAAATGGATTGTTTTTAAACAAAGAAAACTGGAGCAACAATCAGTTATGAATGAGGACCAGGTCTAGGTCCAAATGCATCAGGCAGGATTGTCTACTATGAAGTCGATTATACATTATACAGATCTTCTGGAGTACTGGGGGATGGCTGGCTGTCTCTGTATGTGTTGTGTAGGATGTTTGAAGGAGTGTACTGCAATGTACCACACCCAGTATGCCCTGAGCTGGAGATGGCTTGCTGAAAGGTGGGATCATTATGTTTTTTTTTAACATTCATTCCAAAGTCCTCCAATAGTTGCAGAGATATGCATTTATGATCCTTACCCTTACTAGTACAAGAATAGAGTGATGGTTGCTCTCTATTTGAATGGAGACATGTGGAAGTGAGAACAGTGATGGTACACACGGTTGGCACCAAGAGTCATGGGGGAATGGGGATACAGTAGCACTGGTAAATGTTTCCAGTGACCTGGCTAAAAGCAATCACATCAAATGACTATTATCTAATAATGTGTACGGAAGCACATCTGTAGTGGTGACAAGTATGTCTGTCCTTTTTACAAAGGGCTTACAAAAAACAGGGAAATATCCCACTCAGTTAGGTCCTCTCAGTGCTCAAAACCTCACAAAACCTTTTCTGGGAAACATTAGGACCTTAATTTGTTTAAAATGCCTGGCAGAACAAAAACAAAATCTGACCACAGAAATACAATATATTTTGTAAGGAATCAATAATGTGTGACACTACTAGTTGATTCTCAATGTCTGCCCCACAATAAAATGACAGGACCTACAAAAAAAGGAACCACATGCTAGCCTTCCAAAAAAAAAAAAAAACTGAGGACATGTAACCCCCCCTTCATGTTCAGGGATCTCCTCATATCACTATCTTTAAAATGATTAATGGAAGTACTCCTTCAGCAAACTGCAGTGGACACGTTAGCTGATTCATTTTGAGTGACAAGCCCTCTTTAGAGCTCTGAGAAAGCTAGCTTGCCTCTCAAAACACATCTGCAAAGATGGGTCTGCTGCAATTGGCTGAAGAAGTATCAGTACTTCCATTGAACATTTGAAGATAATGATATGAGGAGGTACTGCCTATGGGATGTGATGAATTATTGCATGTCAAATATTTCACATTCTGCTCTGGACGAGATCACGATCCAAACTCCACAATCACATTTCAGGTTTTGGCTTGCCTCATCTTCCCCAAAGCAAACTCTTGTATCAGCAACAGGAATGCCACGCATCGAGATGCAAAATAATCTTCCTTCAATAAAAAAGCCAACAGGAACAAATACTCAACATGTTTTGTTCTAGGCACAGCACTTTCTGAAACAATGAGAAAGTGCTGTCCCTAGCGTGAAACATTTCAGAATAGTATTTGTTCCCCCTGGCTTTTTTAAAAAAGGGAGTATTATTTTGCATCTTGGCGTGCAGCATTCCTGTTGCTGTATGGATGATTACATGTCTGTCATTTTAGTACTTTTGTAAGTATTTTTGATTTGAGTTTTTTAAATAAAGTGAGGCAAGAGATTATTCGTGAGTTTGGTGAACTTTCTCTTTTTGTGTTGTTAGGACAAATAGTTTGAAGATTCTCCCAATCAAGGGAGCTGCAAGGCCATTAATGACTCTATCACTTCATAAGAACTGGACTATGAGAGGTTTTTCCTATTTTGCACTTGACCTATATCCTTTAACACTCAAGCGTTGTCAGCATGTTTGTTTTATATCAGTGTATTTTGCTTCTCTTAAAACACCAACTGTTGAGCTATGTGAATATGCAGACCTAGTATTCCCAGTCCCACAAACTGTAAGCACCTTATCATTTATTACAGTGAGTAATAGTGGATACTCTACAACACAAAGTATGGTGACAATAAACTACACCAAAAAGCTCATATGAAGATATCAAGAATCAAGGCAGCAAAGGGTAACTCAGAATATTTCTATTTACTCTGTCTTTTTCAAAATTTACCCTATGTAAGCAATAATGGTTTTTATGATGAAGTTGACATGAAAGTTCAAGAACAAAGATGTCACATCCTTCATCAATCAAAATCAGATTAGTAAGCACACAGAGAATCTATCCATTAAACAACAGCTATACCAAAACCAAACTTACTCATAGTCTTTATTTTTTTCTGTTTGGAATCTTTGGCACTCTTCACCTCTCATTTTCCTTTTCCTTCTTCTATAAGGTGAATCTCACAAAGAATAACTCAGAAATGCATTGTTTCTTGTCAAAACATCAGCTATAATTATTAATTGATAAAGTCCACAGTACAGATCATGGCAACAAAGGTGTTTTATTACCGAGCATGCTAAAAAATAAAAGCATTGATCTGAGGCACTGCTGTGGTTTCATGAAGAATTGCACAGTAGGAAAACAAATACAAACCAGCAGGCAGATCAATCAATCCAGAATGACAATGATTTGTTTGAACAACACTGTCTAAACTGACTTTACACAACAACTCTCACTGAGAAAAGGGAGCTGCTCACCAGTTAAAAGCCATGATTTCAGTTTATTAATCCTACCATTGTACAAATTATACCACCTTGTATATAGAAGCTCTAAAGCATTTCACTCCAATTGGAGCTCACTCTATGAGTAATCTCCAAATGGACTAGAATGTGTTAGAGCATCTGTATTTTAGGTGGTATAGTCTGTACAATGGAGGGTTCAATAAACTGAAGCCAAGACTTTTCAGTGGTGAGCGGTTCCCTTTTCCCTTTGAGAGAAGGTGTGTATAGCTTGTGGAGTGTCCAGCAACAGCCAGGAGCCAGCCCACTGTATTGGAGAATTAGTGAGAAATAGTGCCTGCAGAGGATCATTACGTCTTGCTCTCACTATCAAAACTGAAATGAACCAAAGAAAGAAACTCCTCTCAAACACAACATGTAGCTTATAAAGTAGTGAAAGAAATATTAGGTTGTATTGCAGCTACTAGAAGCCTCCTTCTGAAAAAGCTATCTACCTAGTTCTTAAGCTGACCTTGTACCTTCAATATTCTAACACTGATCTGCAACAAGTTTGTTAGGAGTCTGACTTTTCTCTGCTACATGCATGCTTTTCATTTGGCTACATTGCATTCCTTAGGGTGGGCTTTATATTGGAAATAATAACAGATCAAATCCGCAAGTAAGCGTTGGTATTGCCTCATATGGAGCATGTGACAATGCAGAAAACAGGGACACCCAATACAAGGAGTGCAAGAACAAGGATCTTCATGGAAGTAGCACCAGGTATTATTTTAAATTTTCAAATTTAAAAAAGCTTGAAAATGACCTTTGAAACTCCATTAACTTGCTAAGGATTATATGAGATTTTGGTGATTGGCTTTACATTTACTTTAAACTGACCAAAGCATAGCTTAGAAATTGATAATGCAATTTCTCCATGGATTAAAAGGTGCTGCATGTCCCCGGTGAACTGCATATGACACTTATAGCAAGCTCTAGAGTTCAGATATTAATTTCCCGAGTTATAAAACATACTCCAAAATTATGTAAAAAAAAATCTTGAAGCCGCAATGTAATTAATATTCTGTACATTTTGTGTTCCGATAATGATCATATTGCCTCCATCCAGTGCTGACAGCATGTGCAGTAATCACTGGTGTCCTTGACATATTTTTAAACCTTAGAGAGATATACATAATGTTAAATAATGTACCCATCTGTAGGAAGATGAACATGCAACACAGTGTAGGTAGAAAGCTAAATGATAATATATTTTAACTTTTCCACTAACATAAAAAAAAACAAACAAGACAAAAAAATGTGTGTGTGTTTTGTTTGTATAAGAGGGGTGTTCAAGTCATATCAGGACTTTTGAGTTTATATAGTAAAAGAACAAATTTCAGGGAGTGGAAACTGCATTTATCTTTCGACATACTCCCCTGTTACATTTATACACCTATCCCAGCGTATACCTAATGCCTGGAAAGTTTTGTCAGTATGCCTGAACTATCCTAAGACAGCCTGCTGCACTTCGTCATTAGTGCTGAACTCTTGACCTCCAAGGAACTCTTTTAGGGGTCCAAACAGGTGGCAATCACTCCAGGATTATCCAGGATCAGGAATGACTGCTGTGGGCTGGGAACCACCATGCCTGGGATCTCAACTGATGGACGTACGACCATCTTTGAAATGTTTACATCATTCAAATGTATTACTGCGGCTGAACGTCTCATCACCGTACTGTGATTGAAGTCTTCTGTAGATATCTGCGGGTTTTATGCCTTCATTCAAAAGAAACGTCATCACCACCCGCTGTTCCATGTACGCACTAACACTGTTGTCTGCCATCTTGCCGGTCTCTGGACTGGCCTGCAATATGTGCACCACCTATCAGTAATAGGACACACCTGCCACTTACTATTACGTGCAGTACTGCCACGCTAGTATCCCTTTTTATACCTGTAAAATTAAAAGTCCCGGTTTGACTTGAATGCCCCTCGTGTGTGTGTGTACATATATATATATATATATATATATATATATATATATATATATACACATACACACTGCTCCAAAAAATTAAAGGAACACTTTGAAAAAACATCAGATCTCAATGGGGCAAAATATCAAGCTGGATATCTATAATGATGTGGGTAATGAAAGTATCAACCTACAGAGGATTGAATTCAAAGACACAGTGAAAATCAAAGTGAAAAAATGATGCAGCAGTCTAGTCCATTTTGCTGAAATTTCATTTCAGCAACTCAAAATGGTACTCAGTAGTTTCTATGGCCCCCACACGTTTGTATGCATGCCTGACAACATTGGGGCATGCTCCTAATGAGGTGACGTATGGTGTCCTGGGGTATTTCCTCCCAGATCTGGACCAGGGCATCACTGAGCTCCTGGACAGTCTGAGGTGCAACCTGGCAGTGTCGGATGGACCAAAACATTATATCTCAGAGATGTTCTATTGGATTTAGGTCAGGCGAATGTGAGGGCCATTCAATGGTATCAATTCCTTCATCCTCCAGGAACTGCCTGCATACTCTCGCCACATGAGGCCGGGAATCGTCATGCACCAGGAGAAACCCAGGACCCACTGCACCAGCGTAGGGTCTGACAATGGGTCCAAGGATTTAATCTCAATACCTAATGGCAGTTAGGGTGCCATGGTCTAGTCTGTAGAGGTCTGTGCATCCCTCTATGGATATGCCTCCCCAGACCATCACTGACCTACCACCAAAACAATCATGCTGAATGATGATACAGGCAACATAATGTTCTCCATGGCTTCTCCAGACCCTTTCACGTCTGTCACATGTACTCAGGGTGAACCTGCTTTCATCTGTGAAAAGCACAGGGCACCAGTGGCTGATTTTGGAAGATTCTGCCAATTCTAGTGTTCAGTGGCAAATGCCAATCAAGCTCTATGGTGCTGGGCAGTGAGTACAGGGCCCACTAGAGGACGTTGGGCCCTCAGGCTATACTCATGAAGTCTGTTTCTGATTGTCTGTCAAAGACATTCACACCAGTGGTCTGCTGGAGGTCATTTTGTAGGGCTCAGGTAGTGCTCACCCTGTTCCTCCTTGCACAAAGGAGCAGATACCGGTCCTGCTGATGGGTTAAGGTCCTTCTACGGCCCTTTCTAGCTCTCCTAGAGTAACTGCCTGTCTCCTGGAATCTCCTCCATACTCTTGAAACTGTGCTGGGAGACACAGCAAACCTTCTGGCAAAGGCACATGCTGATGTGTCATCCTGGAGGAGTTGGACTGCTTGTGCAACCTCTGTAGGGTCCAGGTATCACGTCATGCTACCAGTAGTGACACTGACCCTAGACAAATGCAAAACTAGTGAAAAACTGTCAAAAAGATGAGTAGGTGCAATGAAAGGCTGGACACAAACACCAAGAGCAAGTCACACACACGGTACAGGTATGATCAACCAGCACTCACACCATAGTTTCTAAGTTTGTGAGGGACACACTACCAAGTATAAAGCTGCCCTGGCACATTATGCAGCATTCACTCAGCACCTCAAGACATTGCATAATCCAACTGCAGTGTTCTTGCACTGTCAAAACCTCCACTTTTATTATCACACGATATATAGGAGGATATATCTTATGGTCATCACAATCTGCATAATAACACACACCAATAGTAATGTGAGTATTACAGCATGAAACAAACACATCTTTTGACAGTGTCACAGCATAGAATTAATACATTACCAAAGCTATGGGAAGAAGAGAAGGAAGAGTCGTCATCAAAACCACAGTGCACAGGAGATCGTGGAGAAGCATAGAGCACGATTGACCGATGAGGTCATGCAGTTTCGGCAAAAGTCCCAGCATCAGAGCATCCCCCAAACGCATGGGATGGCCTCTGATCACATCCTCTCCAGGCCCCTCCTAAATACTCCCACTCAGTGCTTCTGGCCACAATCCCAGAGTGGGCGGCGCCTTACTCGCTCTGAGACTTTGTTTCAGAGAACACTGAAGGGTTCTGTGAGGTAACAAAGTCACACCCAGTCACTTATCGCTGTCATGCCATCTAGCAGGCCTAATAAACAAGTGATCAAACTCTTATTTACATACTGCCATCTAAGTTTTCTCTAAGTTCAAGAAGTTTAAACCTTTTAGCAGTAAGCCCCCTGGGAGGAGGCCTAGATAAAGTAATGAACATTTCTAACTGCACAAACAAGTCTTATCTCCTAATTCTAGCTGTATCTTGGGACTCTGCAAGTTCCCCTTAGCCTAGAAAATGACATCAATGTCATTCTCCATGCTATTGGCATATGGGCAGCGATGCTTTATTGTAAAAATCCCCAAGGAAACAAAGGGCGCAAGGCCAGCACATTTCATAGGCATTACAGTAGGGGAAAAATGTCAGTGGCCTCCACCTGTAAAGCCATTCCTGTTTTGGGGGTCATCTCACTGTTGCCCACCTAGTGCATCTGTTGTTAATTTCATTAACACCAAAGCAGCTGAAACTGATTAACAACCCCCTCTGCTACTTAACTGACCAGATCAATATCCCAGGAGTTTAATTGACTTGATGCTATACTCTGACTAAAAAGTCTTCCTCTAATTTTTTTGAGCAGTGTATATATATATACACACACACACACTCACCGGCCACATTATTAAGTACACCTGTTCAATTGCTTGGTAAACCAATTTGCTAATCAGTCAATCATATGGCAGCAACTCAATGCATTTCGGCATGTAGACGTGATTAAGGCAACTTGCTGATGTTTAAAATGAGCATCAGAATGGGAAAGAAAGGGATTGAATTGTCTTTGAATGTGTTATGTTTGTTGGTGTTTGTTGGTGTCAGATGGGCTGGTCTGAATATTATAAAAACGGATGATCTACTGGGATTTTCACAACCATCTCTAGGGTTTTCAGACAATGGTCAGAAAAAGAGAAAATATCCAGTGACTGGAAGTTGTGTGGATGAAAATGCCTTGTTGAAGTCAAATGTCAGAGGAGAATGAGCAGACTGGTTGATGTGACATTCAGGTGGTAGGGTAAGTTGGCGTAAACATGAAAGCATGGATCCATCCTACTTTGCATCAACGTTCAGGCTGGTGGTGCAATGGTGTGGGGGATATTTTGTTGGCCCCAACAAGGTGTACCTAAAGTGGCTGGTGAATGTGTGTGTATATATATATATATATATATATATATATATATATATATATACGCACACACATACTGTATATAAGCAGTAACTTTGTGCCTGATTGTGAGACAGCACGTTTTTTGTTTGTTGCCCACATATTGTTTCTGGCAGGGGCATTGCAGCAGGTATACAACATATATATTGCAGGAAATAAAATTCTTAATAATGTATGATTTACCTGTGGAATGTGAGGTGAATGAGTCAATTCTCTGTTTTCTTGTATTGTTGCATTTACAGATAATACACCTGTTGCATGCATGGAAACCCTTAAGATCTGTGAATAGTGAGATATTTTTAGGAGGGTCCACTACAATGGGTGCTAGTTGATGTCTTATAGAAGTGGCTTTGCGGAAGATGATTTCTGGTCTTTCCGGTAAGATATTAGATAGGATGGGGTACCCAGAGGAAGGGAGCCCTGTATCCAGGCTTAGCACCCCTCCATCCTAAAGGGGACCTCTGGACCTAGCAGATTTACCCTAAATCCCAAGACTTGATGACCAACCCATAGAAGGAAGCTGACACATTCCGCCTACCTAAGGGATCCTTGGTGATTATATTTATATGCGCATTACCTATGCGCTTCCGGTGATTGCGCATTTTTACTGTTGATTCCAGTCACAAGTCTTTTTGAAATCTGCTACGGAGAGGATTGTGTATTCACATTATATGAACTCTTATGAATTTTATTTATTATTAACTATTTATATCGGATAAACTTTTAATTTATCAATTTTATGAATTATTTATTAGCGCTGCACTTCCTATTTTTTCCAGTTGTATGAAGGCTTATTTTGGTTACCTTTTAGTGCCATAGCTGCTATTTCAGAGTGCTCACTTTCCCATATTATATACTTGTATATAAGCAGTGTTCACACTCTATGCCTTAATACTCCACACAAACGAACCATGTAGCAACAGGTATAGTAGGCACTGAAAGGACAGAATCAAAGCTTTATTGCGCCATTTCAGAAAGTCACAGTGCCCCTTTCTCAAGGCCTTGAGAAAGGCAAGCTGTGACTTGACAAAACATTGGTGCATCAAAACTGTTATACTGTCCTCTTCGCTCATCTGTGGAGGCCCCTTGAGTGCTTACTATACCAGATAATATATACAATATATATTCTGTGCTATAGCTGATGATGGCTGTGTAACGTCTTCCTTTGTTACGGCTGTATTATCCTTCTGCTGTATGGACAGAGTTAAACTGAATATTTATTAATGCAGAAGTGCAGCAGCTATCTTTAAGATCCAGTTTTAATGCAATGCAACAAGGCAAGGAGAAGTGGGTTGGTGGGCTGGTGATGACTGTCTTGAAGCAAGCAGACTGGGCTGCTGCTGGCTGAACATATCCCTGCCATAGCTGACCACAATTAGGTGAGGCCTCAGAAATGCAAACAGACTAAGAAGCTTCTCCTTTGGAGGGTGTGATTTGATATCTGGTGGGTTAAACTATACTAGAGAGCACTCTCACCACTTGTAAGGAAGGAAAAGAGGGACTGTCTCAGCAGGACTGAAAGAGAGAGACATCACAACAAATCATTTTCCTGTCTGAGGATTTGAAATTAATCCACAGCACATGTCTGGAGACTCAGAGGAGGGCACCTTGGGTCTGGTAAGAGACTAACATAGCACAAGTTAATCAGTTTTCTGCTGTGAGCT